GGGGGGGGGGGGGGCTTTACTAGCCATTGTACCGAGCTTGGAAAAAACAGCTGTGAGCTGAGATAGCAGACAATGCGGAAATGGTGGAAATGGGTAAACCAAGTGAGGCCATCGAGCACGTTGCGTCAGGCAAGCTGAGACTGTACTGCGGTTGAAACAGTGAGTGATGCGCACTCTTGTGACTGACCATTGGAGTTGTTGCGCCATTGATTTGAAGAAACATGTTTTTACTTACAAACATTAGTGTGTTTGTGTGGTTCACTACCCACTTTTCATCTTTCACATGTTTGTGTTTGTATACTTTTGTGCGCACCTAACTAATTCTAGCTCGCTTAACTCTTATACTCCAAAAGTCGGCGAAGAAGACTTCGGTTTGTCTGTACTCCCCTTCTCTGTCTTATCCTCGAGTTCACATGATATTTTTTATGTGTTTTATAAACACGCTGTCTCGATGAATCAACGTGCTCTGTTGTCTGTTTTGCTGTCGACACCACGTTCTCACAGTTAGCCTGTCGTATCGCAGCTGCGACCGATAAAAGTCCCCTGATGGCATGATGTGCTGTACATTACTCCTCTGATTGTTGCACTTTTTAAGCGCCAGTAGCTAGGCACAGTCTTGTTACAGATAGAACCTCTTTCCTGACTGGTTGACAGGCTGTGATTAACTGACCACTTGAAATAGGAAAAATGACTTTGCAAAGAACTGCAATGGCGCTGGTTCCAGTAAGTGCTGCTGCTGCTCTTTTCACGCAAATTCTTTTTATTCTAAATTCTTGTGTTTATTTCCATCTCAGAGAACTCGCTCCAAGTACAGCCTTGACCTCAGTTACTACTCCACGACGATATGGAAACTGAACGACCTGACTCGTGAGGTCTTCACCATCTACGACTACCTGAAGCTNCTTTTCACGCAAATTCTTTTTATTCTAAATTCTTGCGTTCTTTTCCTTCTCAGAGAACTCGCTCCAAGTACAGCCTTGACCTCAGTTACTACTCCACGACGATATGGAAACTGAACGACCTGACTCGTGAGGTCTTCACCATCTACGACTACCTGAAGCTGGAGGAGGTTCGCCCGCTGGTGGACAATGTGCTGTCATTCTGGGCGCACTACTACAGTACACTGAAGCCGCTGCTCGAATATGGCACAGAAAATGGACGACGGCTGCTCAGAGATCAGCAGTACCGAAAGAAGGTGCTCGCTCGGATGCTCCTCAACATGCCGGTGATTGCGGTGATCCTTCAGCTAGCACTGTCGCTGGTCTTTGTGTACCAGTGCACGCAGTTGTGGCGAATTAGAAGTGCCATCAAGGAGGCAATTCGATTCGTCAGCGAAGACGAGGTAAAGCTGGAGTTCAGTCGAATTGAGCAGAACCTAGAGCACATGAAGGATATCTCCAGTGATCTTCAGATGCTCGTCGATCAGTACGAAAAATGTCGCAACCCAAGGGAGGTCAACCGACTGCTGGAAAAAATAAATACCAAGTTGATGATTGCAAAAAGATTTGCAGATACCTCTGAGGTGATTGGTAAGTCATGCTTACTGCCATCATTTTGAAACAATATTAATCTTTTTACCCTTTCTTTAGACAACCTGCAAGCCAAGTTGCAGGCACAGAAAATCATGCTGACGCAATGTGATCAGCGATTCATTCAGACCGGACTCACTTCACTTTCTGCCAGTGGCATCGGTCTGCTGACCGTTCTCATAAACGACAAGCTAACCGATATTGAACAGAACCTGATTACTCTTGCTGATAACCTTCACCTCGACTACCACGCCGTAGAGCAGTTAATCAACGAGACTGAAGAGCGCAAAGAGCGTCTTTTTGAAGAACGCCTAAAAGAGGAGACTGAGGTCCTCAAAACGGAAAGTGGAATGATTGCCAGTCTGCTCAATGTTGCAGGCGGCTGGCGAACGATGGCATCATCGTACATGAAAATTCTTTGAAACTGAAAACTTGTTAAACAAAACCAGACGTGATATATATTCCTTTTAAAAGCTTTATAATTTTGTTGCTGTCTGTTCACATAATAGTGATCACCGGTCCATTTTCTGACTGCTCTTCTCTTCGGTCGAGGTACGCTTTATACTTTTCCTCCGTGAGGCGAAACAAACTCAAACCCTCTTTTCTGCCCTCACTCCTGCCATTTGTTGACAAGTCTATTGCGCCGATGCTTTTGTAGAAGCCAATCGCCAGCTGGTTCCAGCCAAGGACGTTCCACTCGATTCGGTCCATGGAGTGAGCGTCAGCGTAGGCGGCCAGCTTGCGCACAATGGCCCCTGCCAGGCCAAACTTTCGGTACTGCTCCTCCACAAAAATGTCCTCAATCCAGAGGTGGGCGCCGGCAAAGCTGCAGTACACCTCATTGTAAATTGAGTAGCCAACGGTCTTCACCTCAATCTCTCCCCGCTCGCCGTCCACCACCAACTGCACCACCAGAGCCTGAAATCGAGGCGGGTGTCCGCAGCCGAAGGCGTCCTCTCGAAGCGTCTCCGCGCTGATGGCCACCTTCTCCGGCATCTTCTCGTACACTGCCAGATCGTAGATCATTCGGTAGATTGAATCGCAGTCCTCCGGACGGGCATCACGTACGAGGAACTTGGGCATCGGCAGAGTAGACATGGCTGTACAGTGGTGTTGTGATTTTGATGAGTGTGTCTTCAGCCATCTCAGGCAAACGGTGTCACCGCTAACACTGAGTCGCATTTTGCCTTTGTATACAGTGTCGCTGCTGTAGCTGATAAAAGCAGTGATGATAAAGGTACAGCAGTGATGACCAAGCAACAGGCGTAATGTATAGCCGAAAAGAGAGAGAGTGTAGTAAGGAGAGCTGCATGATGGAAGAAAGAAGGGAGGCAAAAAGAGCAATGAAATTGGCAAAAAAGAGATAATGAGGAGTTAAGAGGGCAGAGAGTCAAGAAAGTCCCAAAAAAGGAGGCAGTGCAACAGCACTAGTCACACTGTTCACATGTCACCGGTCAAGTGGATGCTGTTCTGACACACACTCTTCAACTGATGCATCAGCTGCTCGACGGATGATCTGGAAAAGCCAGCTGACTGCCACCGCCGCTTTCCTTTCCCCACGCCACCTCTGACCGAAGCAAGTTATCTATCTAGTACTGACAGAGCACTTACGTCAATCCGCCACACACTGTAATGTGACCTTCTTTGAGTAGCACTAGCACTTCAATGGAACTTTTTTGTCAATGTATACATTTGTGGAAGAGATAACAGAAAGAGAGGGACTGACTGAAGGAGAGGGTAGTATGACACGCACACAAGCTCACACACATTTTGCAGAACAATCTGATCTGATCAAACTCTGATCTGACGGCAACGGTGGCGGCTGAAGAAGAGGAGAGGCATTTTTTGTGTTTAGTGACGATACATAGTGAGTGCTTTGTGCAGACACTTGTTCATCATATCAGCACGTGAGACCCAGTTCTCTGCTGCTTGTCCTTTGCTATTTGACCAGCCGTTAATACAAAAATTACTGTTTTGCTGTTTTTCTACTCTGTCCTTTCGCCGCCGTTGCTGCAGTGCTGATGTGCAATGCATTTCGATGTTGACGCTGAGTGCAGCCTTTTCTTCTTCTTCTTCCTCCTTCAAATGGCAGTGACGTTTGCTTAAAAGTTACTTACTTGAAAACCTGCTCTGTGACAGAGGCCAAAGGAAACACCTTCGGTTCACCAAAAATACACCGTTCATCGTCGACTCTGACCAATTGACGTCAGTAGACGGTGAAGCCGGTGCCGCACACGGCAAACACAGGAGGAAAAAATTTCGGGAGTAAGCACAATTCAGCACAAAGTGGTGGTCACCTCACCTTGGCACTCCATCTTTCTCTCTCTGTCTTTGTCTGGAGGTGGTCAAATATGACCCGAACTTGGTGACAGCAAGTGGCAGAAAAGTCCAGTACTGCTTTTCTTTATTTCCCTTCTCTCTCCCTCCGCCTACGTCAGCCTGCGGACAGATTCATTAGTAAACATGTCAAGAGGGTGAAATCGCCCGTCTGGTTCAGTCCAGGTACAGTGCCTGTGTGTGTGCAGCATATGTGCGTGTGTTCCTTTCATTTGTCCACTGGTTGCTATCACCGCCGCAATTCCATCCACTGGCCACTGACCGTCGTATTCCACCTTCTTCATTCATCATAAATGTCAGCACGAGTGACATCTCCACTGAGTTTAGTAGATACTACGCTGTTGACTTAAACTCCACTACTGCCCACTTTGAGAGACAACTACTTTTTAAGTGAACTACCCGTCTGCTGTGTATCTTCTTCTTCAGTATGCTCAGTGTGTGAGTGTGTGTTGATCAAGTCTGCCCTTCAAGTATTCTCCACTCAAAGGTAAAATTTGAGTACTTTGATGTGTACCTAGAAGAAAAAGCAGAAGCTTATGCTTATGGCTAATTATTAAAATTCCGTATAAGTCCCACATGGTGACCAACAAACTGGACAGAATCAACA